GGGGAAAGCAGAGAGAGAGAGAGAGAGAGAGAGAGAGAGAGAGAGAGAGAGAGAGGGGCCATCTTGTCCTTAGACACTGGCTTGGAGGTGGTGATGTGAACAATCTCTGAACTGGCAGAAGTAACATGAAGAGTCTCTGAATCGGCCATCTTGTCAATAGACACTGGCTCGAAGGCGGCCATCTTGTCCGTAGACACTGGCTTAAAGGCGGTGACGTGAACAGAATCTGGATCAGCAGAAGTGATTTGAACAATCTCTGAATCGGCCATCTTGTCCATAGACACTGGCTCGAAGGCGGCCATCTTGTCCTTAGACACTGGCTTGGAGGCGGACATCTCGTCTTTAGACACTGGCTCGGAGGCGGTGACGTGAACAGTCTCTGGATTGGCAGAAGTAACGTGAACAGTCTCTGAATCAGCCATCTTGTCCGTAGACACTGGCTTGAAGGTGGCCATCTTGTCTTTAGACACTGGCTCGGAGGTGGACATCTTGTCTTTAGACACTGGCTCGGAGGCGGCCATCTTGTCAGTAGACACTGGCTCGGAGGCGGCCATCTTGTCTTCAGACACTGGGTTAGAGGTGGCCATCTTGTCCTTAGACAATGGCTTGGCAGAAGTGACGTGAAGCGTCTCTGGCTCGGCAGAAGTGACGTGAAGCATCTCTGGCTCGGCAGGGCTGACGTGAAGCGTCTCTGGCTCGGCAGGGCTGACGTGAAGCATCTCTGGCTCGGCAGGGCTGACGTGAAGCGTCTCTGGCTCGGCAGGGCTGACGTGAAGCATCTCTGGCTCGGCAGGGCTGACGTGAAGCGTCTCTGGCTCGGCAGGGCTGACGTGAAGCGTCTCTGGCTCGGCAGGGCTGACGTGAAGTGTCTCTGGCTCGGCAGGGCTGATGGTAAGCGCAGGCTCGGCAGGGCTGACGTGAAGCGTCTCTGGCTCGGCAGGGCTGACGTGAAGCGTCTCTGGCTCGGCAGGGCTGACGTGAAGCGTCTCTGGCTCGGCAGGGCTGATGGTGAGCGCAGGCTCGGCAGGGCTGACGGTGAGGCACAGGGCTTAATACAAGGACAAACGATCTAGATGGGATAACAAAGGGGGCGTGGTTAATGGGAAACACCTGTGAAGACTAATAGACAGACAGGGAACCACTAAACATGACAAGACAAACCCACACCGTGACACCAATAATAAAATCATCACTCATAAAAAGTTCCATTAATCTCTTATTAGAAATAGATTATCAATTAGTGTACATTCTGGAACACAATGTGTTTGCTCATTCCTCACAATAATACTCTAATTTTTTTTTTTTTTTTTTTACTGTAATCTATTCGCTAAACTTTTAGACACTATTTTGTAGTCTTGACACATTAAAGATACAGGGTGCCAATTCTTCAACAGCCCTTAGGCAGAAGTGATAGTACTGCTCTTTGACAACTGCTAGGTAAAATACCTTTTTTTTAAACATTCACCAATTACAATGCAAAAGTCTTCTCCTAAAATATTCCAAAATGATTTATAAAACTTTACAACCTCTGAAAGTTCCTCATATGTAATCAATTTGTCCAATGTTTTTCTGTCATCAAGCTTTGAATTAGGCAGTCCCTCCAGGATTTCACGATTTTTTTGTGTGATTTTTGCGATCAAAATGACTGATTTTGTGGTGGTAATTTCCAAAAATTTGTGAAAAAATGTGCGATTTATATTTAACATTTACCATAATAGTATTCAGTCCTTCCAGAAAAACGCTGAGTTTTTTTGTGATTGTTGCGGGCAAAAATTGATTTATTACGCTGCCCGTTTTCTTTAAAAATGTGATGGAATACGCGGGAATATGCGATCAAATTGCAGGAATTTGCAAAAATTGAGGGAACTTGCAAAAATTGTGGTTTGATGAAAAAGAGAAAAAAAGTGATTCCCCCAACATCCTGTTCTCTAATGTAAGAGTCATTTCTTATTACTTCCTTTGATAAGCACGCATACTACATCATAGAAAGTGCTGGGAATATTTAATTTCTCATCTTGTTTTATTTTAGACTGTAACGAGTGTAAATAAGGTGTGGCCCCTTTAAGAGCTGCGCGCTCCCTGTTGAACTCTCTGCAGTGTTATATGTGCGCCTCGAACACCCCATGTGTGCGGGTAATTTCTGTTTGATGCTACTTCTTTTATCTTATGTTGTTTATTAAGTAACGATGTGACGGTAGAACGTGTGACAGACAGTTATAAGAGTTGGATTTGTGATGTCAATCGCCTCCATGAGTCTGTCTGGCATCGCCTAATTGCGTTACTTTATAACGTTCCCATGGAAACAGGGGGAAATGGCTGCTCTTGTGTGAAGCAAACGCAACATTTTCCAACTTTCTGCTAAGATACATGTGACTTTTTTTGCAACGAAAATGCGAGGATTATGAAATTATGCAAACCCCGCATATTTTGCACGGAAATAGGCAATTTATGCAGCGAAAGTGCGACGTATTTGAAAAAATGTGGCCCCCGCATAAATATGCGGACTTTGGCTGATTTTGCATTGAATTCAGCGATCGCATAATCGCGTTTTTCTGGAGGGACTGACTAGGCAGTCCTTTTAAAGGGTCATGAAACCCCAAACCAAATTTTCTGAGATTTTAACAGATGTATGTATGTTGAACACCATTGAAGACAATGTTAGCATCTGTTAAATTTAATAGTAGGGTTGGTTAAATTTGATTTTTTTTCCCCGAATTTTTCCTCTTCCGGGTTTAAAAACTTCACCGTGTCCATGTTACAGGCTGTGACGTAGCCGTGCACTGTGAGTGCTTGATGACTCATCGGTGTCTCATAATTATTAATGAGACTGAGTTTTTATATCCTAGAAGACACTACTCTTAATTATTCATGACACCACGTGAATCTTTCCAATGACAGACATGAGAGAGGCAATCATGGGACGCAAGTGTTTCATGGTGCAAAAGTCCAAGTGGGTTGAATATGTTTCCCTGCAATGCTGCCAGGGCTAGACTCTGGCTCTGGGGTGCGTTTCCCGTACAACAACATAGTTCGCTGCTTCACTACCATAGAACGATGCATCGTTGGATAAATCAACTAGCTAGCCACGACTGTTTCCCGAAATCCACTGTCGCAAAGTATCGTTCAACCACGTTGATTTCGCATATGGTGGAATCATATGGCATATGGCTTTTACTGAAACTGTTTGAGATCCAATTAACGCTAGATTTTTTCATATAAATTACAAACATGTAATCTGAGGACTATTTCTAATTGTTCTCAGTTATTTTGCTTCATTACCAGACTCAATTTTTCGTTCGTTCTTACATAGTAGAGCACGTACGCACATGCACACTCTTCAAACATGTTACCTTAAATCTTTTGACAAACTAAAAGACGTAAATTACATTTGTATGTATTCTAAATAAAAGGCACCGGTTGCACTGAATATCAGCTTGCTTACAGTTCACTTCGCGTATACAGACAGGAGCCATCTTAAAAAATAGTCTCGACAAGTCGATCCCCGAACGCCGCTCATACAGTTCAGAAGTTCGCTGAACTTCATACAGTTCAGATCACTCAGCACGGCGTTCAGGGATCGACTTATCGAGACTATTTTTTAAGATGGCTCCTGTCTGTATACGCGAAGTGAACTGTCTTCATAAAGTATCTTCTTATTAAACGGTCTGTACACTTACAAAGTTCTCAATGCTTCGTTTTGTATGTATGGAGCCTCATTAAGTTACTGCGTTAGTGTGGGGCTATTTTGAGCCTTGTTAGTGGTATAAACTAGCGATTTCTCTTTACTAAGTCAATGCCCCCATGGCTAGCATTATACGCTTAACAGTTTTTAGAGATAAAACTCTTTACATTCGATTATCATGAAAACAAATCTCAGAGAACGGTTGACTGTGTACCGATGTTTTATTAGACCAAAGGTTCATTGTTCGCCGGAGTTCTCCTTTAATGGAAGATGTCTTGGCTTGGATTAAGGCACATTTTGCTGTTTTCCTCTAACAGTGTTTTTAACTCCAATCTCTTTTTATTTAAATCCTCATCCTCATACCCGAAACATTTAAATCAAATCCATTTTCCATTTCATTAATATCTTTTCAAAAATTCTGTATTTCTCTTTACAATCACAGTATTATTACAAGAAACAAAAATTGCTGACAAAAAAATCTTGATTTGGAGTTTTTCTACCTCCCACCATTGAATTACATTTTCAAAACGTCCAACTCTCCCAAAAACATTAAAATTTTTCACAAAATACCAGTTTGACCTGTACCAGTTTGACATTAAAATGCCAATAAGATTTTGGATGTGACACACTTTTCATACCAAAATCAATAGGATTTATTTGAAATATTTTATGGTTGAACATAAATAAAAGCACCACTTATCGAATTCCCGCTTTCGATCAAACGATTCACGAGCTGTTCATCCTTGAGAAAAAACACCACCGCTTTGTTCATCTGAGATGCAGAAAAATGTTATCATGACTAATGCGTTCAGCTACATCCAACAACGCGTCTTCCACAGACTCTGCAGCGTTGGTGACACGCCTGATGCCGTGACAAATCGACAGAGACGACCCCTACACTCTCCCGTGTGACGCCATCTCCGTCCCCGACACGCAATAGCCTACTAGACTATTACACGAACCAAAAATCGGACAATATAACAGACTAAAACCAAACTAATTTTGCAAAAGAAAATAGAAATCCTTCCAATTAGCTCCCAGAAGAATAGTTATGAAAAAAAGTTTTCAAATTTCCCTCTCACCGTGATCACCCTCCCACACACTACCACTTCCCAGCATGCACTGAGAGAGAGAGAGAGAGAGAGAGAGAGAGAGAGAGAGAGAGAGAGAGAGAGAGAGAGAGAGAGAGAGAGAGAGAGAGAGAGAGAGAGAGAGAGATTGTTTAGAAGGGGAGGGGGTTACTTGAGGGGAGCAGGGCTGGCTAAATAGGAATCATCCCTCTTAGCCAATGAGTTTAAAGAGAGAAGCAGATGTCACAGGAGTGAGAGGGACCACCTCCGCAAGCTCAAGCACCCTCAGTTGAAAAGAGTGCAATGAGCTGTGCGCTGTCACATCGATAGTTGCTTTCTCCTCTCCCTCTCTCCCGAACGCGCTTCTGCTTGCTTTCGCAGGCTGTCAGCTGGAAGCATCAGCATAGGTAAGACTTGCACGTTACAACGCTGTCTGTAGATTAGCAGATGATGCCTGAATGCTCATTAAAGTGTGTCTGATTTTCCATTTTGTGGGAGTTAGATGTGAGTTTCTCCTGATAGAGGTACATTCTGAGAAACTGAGGAGGTTCTTATGTAAGTGCAGCAGCTTGGAGCTTATTTTATGGAAACTTTGATATGAGACGAGAGGAGAGAGTCAGACGGGCAGCTTAGAGATCTGCTCTTCTCGAGTGTTTAAATTTGAACTAAAGGAGTGCTCCAAATGAATGGAGTCACTTTGTATGGTCTCAGAAACATGCCGGTGGACCTGTCCACGGCCAGGTAAATCACTGTTCAGATGCTGCGATCTTGAAGGAAAAATGACAGCCGTGGGATTTGCGCTGACTTTCGCTGTAATCGGCATGTTTTATCTTTCTCCTGACTACAATAAATGCTGTTTTGTGCCTGCCGGGTCTCGCTCTATCCAGGGTCCCAGCCCCACATCTTTTTGTTCAAGGGGGTGTGCTTAGACTGATCAATTCCTTTATGTGTGAAGGAGACAACAGTGTGGGAAGGTGTGTGTCTACTGCAGGGTGATTTTCAAAGCTGACTGTGGTTGTAATTAGTTGTTGCTGTCAATGCATGGAGCATTAATGCTGAATATTTACAAAAATTCACTGATCAACAGATATATTGTTGTTGTTTGTTTTTTATATTTTTGTCCCCAGAGTTAGATGTTGAAGTATGTCTTTGAACTTCCATGACTCACTTATCTGCCCTACTTTGAGAAGAGGATGTCAAAGTATTATTCATACTTCATGTTGGAATTCAGATGAAAGCCTTGCAATCCGTTACCTGCATTGCTTTTGCCCCATTTTCTCCAGACTACAATACTTGAAAGTTCTATATCAAACTATCAGACGGTAATTTGTTTTGTGTCATTTAGTCAAGTCGACACATGGAAATGGCAGCCGTTGTGTACAGCCCACATGTCCTGTTTGTGTTGAGATATAATGGGAGGTATGCTCTTTATAATATTGAAGATGCTGCAAACGTTTGGAAGTTTTTTTGTTTTTTTTTCACATGCAAATTAGTTTTGTGGCAGAATAACTGCAAGTTTGATGCAAATGTTCAACTCTGACAACAAACAGGTGCTGAAGTCGATCCTTTAGTCATCTTTTTCACACGGTCTCTTTCTCTGATGAATAAATAAATTCAACTCGCCACTGAAAATAGCACCCAACATCCATAAGTAATGTCCGTGGGTCTTCTATTTAATTTATACATGTGATGGCATGTGGAGAAAGAGGTCCGTTCTACGGCAGCATTTCGCCTTAATCAGCATCAACCATCAGACGTTTGATCATCTCTATCAGCAAGACTTTCAGCCACCCATAAGACTTAGACATACCTCTCCTCCTGCAGCCATCTCTAACTGTGATTAACCAAGCACAGCTGAGCTCTCCCGTCTCTCAGAGTTAGTGGATATACATCCATTCGTGCCGTTTGTTTTCCATCTGATCAGACCTGTGAATTAAAGCTGAAAATGAGAAACGGTGTATCTCACTGCTTGTATTCATTGCTGCTTACTCGTTTTTGCAGTCGTTTCTGGAGGTGTCTCAGGTGTGAGAATCAGGCAGAGAAATGGCAGGTGTGGTCTGATGCATATGTGTAGGCTTTAATCATTCATATTATAGATGGAGAGCTCTGGGCCTAACTGTGTTGAAGCACAGAGACTGGCTGTGAATCACTATAACATCCTGTTAACGCAGAGAGTCAGCATCAGTATAAAACTAGAGCGCTTCCCTTATAGTCAACAAAGCTGTCTATAGTGGAAGAGTGTGATTTGCGGCATAGATCGCTTCAGTGATTATACTGGAAATGGTCTAGTTTAGTCACATTGGGTCATTTAACTTGTTTGCAGTGTGGAGTGTAGATCAGAGTCTGTAGGAATAAAGAATAATCAAGATCAAGACTTTTGCTGAAGTTTCTCTAGACCCTGTAATCTCATGGTTTTCTCTTCTAGAGGTTCAGATTTTGACTTGTTACTGCTTTGTTCAATTTCATCAAAAGTCTGCCACAAGACAGATATTTCAATGCAAACCAGGGTTTAGAAACATTGGTTTAATCTGCGGTGGTTATAAACAAAGTAAAAGTGCTTCATGTAAGCAATAAGCTACGAGAGGCTGTGCTGTCTCGTGAATAAGTAACGGCTGAAGGGCATTGTTAGGCACGTTGGGAATTTTCATTAATATTGGTATATATCTTCCTATTGTTAATATTACTATTATTAGTATTATTTTTATAAACTATGTATGAATATTGTTTTTTTTTTTTTTTTTTTTTTTTTTAGCCGTCTATCTGATCTGCCTGGTACTATATCTTGTTGCCTCTATTTGGGTTTTACATTAAAAAAAAAAAGAAAACAAACAAAAAAAACAGCATGTTGTGTACTTTTAAAGTACTTTTATTTTTTATTGACATGGCAGATGGCAGCAATAATTACAGTGCTCTAACAACGGAGGTTACCAGAATACATGAATAAATAACAATTGACATTGGACACGATGTAGCTGTAATAAAGACCACGTTTCAGTAAAATATTTTCACAATCCTCTATGATGTCTTTACGTCCTTCATTATGTGTGTATTCTGAGTGGGAGTTTCTCTCTATCTTATGATACGTGACAGCATCTGAAATACACAATTTAGAGTTACATTGTGTCTCTTTCATTTGACTATGTAAAAACAATTACTGTATGCTCACAAAGGCCAAAATTACCAAAAATGGACAGAATGAGCCCTTTAAAATGAGCCTTTGTTAAAAGGAAAAAGTAATATAAAGTCACAGTATAGCTTTAATGTTTTTTTTTTTGTGTGTGACTGTGTATGTTTAGGCATAAAGTAATAATAATAATAAAAAAAAAATCAAACAATATGGATAATAAATTCCTTATATCTGTTGCTTACTTTGTGGAGAAGAAAAGATGACTCAACTAAACAGAGCGGTTCACACTTATATCTTCTGTTAAACTAAAAAGAGAGGAAATGATTGTTACAATTTTTCAAAGTTGTAATCTATAGACATTTTTAGAAAGAAATCATTTACCTGTTGAGAGTATGTTGACAGTCTCTGTAACTGTTGTAGAGCTGAGCTCCGGAAAATAAGTAATGTGAAGGCGTTGACTACAGATTTGAAAATCAAAAAGGCAGGGAATAAATAACCCTAAACTCCAACACAAAGAACCATTTCAGCATGTAAAGGGTTCTTCGGGACGATGCAGTAAATAGAACTCTTACTATGTGTAAAGAACCTTTAAAGAATCTTTTTTGTATTTGTTTTTGTAACCAATTTCTGCAAGTGTTCCCCAACCTTCTTTTTAAAATAATAACCAGTTAGAACGAAATAATGTTCAATAAATAATGTTTCTTTTTAAAATGAGAGTATTTTTGTTAAATAATTAATACTTCTTCAACAAGGATGCACTAATCTGATCAAAAGTGACAAAGAAATTTATAATGTCACAATATATCCAATTCAGTATTCTATTCAAATAAACCTGAAAAAAAAAAAAAAAGTTTTCTGTTTTCACACACGTTTCTACATCGATAATGAAATGTTTCTTGAACAGTAAATCAGCAGATTAGAATGATTTCTGAAGGATCATGTGACACTGAAAGTTTGCTGAAAAGTCAGCTTTGCGATCACAGGAAACGTGGTCAAACAGAAAAAAAAATGATGCTTTTCTTTAAGTTCACTTTGTCACTGTATTTCATAAAATATTTTGAGAAAAAAAATATTTTAACTGTTACCATCATTTAAAAATAAGGCTTTTACTGGATCAATTGAAAGGGTTTTCATTCATGTGTTCTATTACATTGTGCTTCAGTTTCACTTTTTGAACCATTTGATAATTATCAATCCTTCTGGTAAAGGTAAAACTTCAAGTTCAAGTTGGTTTCCACCTTTTGATGAAGCACATACAGTTGTTACAGAAGTTACAACAAAGCATGAACCAATGAAATAAGACAGTGTTTGATTAAGTGCTCTGTCTTAATACAAAACCATGCTGTAATTTCACTGAAATACACCTCACATGGAAACCATTTGTTGTTGTTTTTGTTCACCATTGTTTGTTCGTGACACCCAAAGTCTCATTCGTCTGTTGATGAAAGCAATTGATTAATACTCGAATTAAATGCTGAACACATATCTGCACGCATATCGCTGAGATGTATTGGAGCATTTAAGGTCTTGGCAGACGAGTTCCTCTGTGAGTCGGTAATGGGCGAGGAATGCCAGGAAAACCAGAGTCCGCATCCCCCACCCCCCTCCCCCGCCCTCGCAGATAAAAACAATGTGTCCCTGGTGGCCCGGAACATGATTTCAGCCCGTATGAGGTTTCAACAGCTTTCTCCATCTGGCTTCTGTGCAAACAGTGTTGCGCACCTTCTCCAGTGTTTATCGATTGAACTGTTCACTCTATCAGTCATCTGATCGTGCTCTCCTTCCTTATTTGCTTCTCCTAAACGTCACAGTTATTCATCTGAAAATCACAGCACCCAGCTGAGGACAAGACAAGTGAGAAACAGAAAACAGCCATTATCTGTGAATATATTCTTTAGCAGGACTGAACATCTTTCAAGTTCGTCAGCGTCTTTCCAAGGTTCCCCCTGAAACCGGCCTTGGAAAAACGTGCAATATTATGAATATGGTGATTACGTTGCCACTCTTAGCTTGAGTATTTCTTCTCCCAAACTTCTTATGACCTTTACAATCAGAGCATGTTGAAGTGGAAGTAAGTGTGATCTCATCAGAAACGAGGAAATAACATGTTTTCCCTTTTCCCCCAATGTTTCTTGATGAAGTTTGAGTGTACTGTGTGTCATCTGGGAGCTTGTTTATGGCGTTTGAATCTCAAAGACTGTTTTTAAGAAGCCTTAAGTAGCATTAGGAACTGAAACAGAGCAACCGAAATGCATATGGTGATTAATTGTTTTTCTGAAG